CGTGCCGGCTAAAAACTCCCCGTGGATTCCATGGATTTAGCAACTGGGGGTCACGGTTGCTCTAATAGTGTTTCACCTGTACCAGTTAATCTGGCTTCCCTCATAAAGGGGATAATCCCACTCAGCTCACTGAGTTATTGCGAGAATTGAATTGAATACCAGATGTGGCAGCATCCGGGAGAGCACCCGGGACAAAGCAGGCACTCAATAAATCTGATCACAGCGTTTCTTCTGGTTGGAGACGGCAATGGCAGGATGATGCCAGGGATCCTTGAGAAGAGCTCTACTGGTCGGCGTCCAGTTTCCGAGGGTAAAGATCTCGTCAGTACTGAGGATGTAGTGAGTACTCAATAAGCAGTAGCCATTGTTTCTATGGGCTGTATCACAAGAGCCACCCTTCCAGCAGTAGAGGAGCCTGCTGCTGCAAAGTGGAGAGACGGGCGTCTCTACCGCTGTGGTTGGGACCCTCGTACCAGCCCGTTGACAGGTTTTACCTTAGGTGATGCTTAATATGGCTTAGATGCCAGCCCACTCAAGAGAGTGATACAAATGGCAGGCCTATGTCCCTAGTCCCAACTGTGTCACCCCCAAACACTAGGATCCTGAAACCACGGGTTGAGACCTTAAATCCTGGGGAAGGCAAAGTGCCAAGATACTTACGAGGAAAGTGACCTTCCAGCACTTCACTCTGCTCATCTGGAAGATGATTTCCTGGGTCTGGTTATCAGGCAGGGTTATGCAGCAGCTGATCTCATCATTGCCGACAGAAAGGACGGCCCCACAGCCCGGTTCCGGGTAGTCACAGGTACAGGGATCCAGCTGCAGGTATCCATAGTGCCGTACCTCTTGGGACAGCTCCAAAAACTGCGCGGGGTGGGCGGGGGCAGGTCGGAAGAAGCAAAAGACGACTTGAAAAAGGGAACGGCCTCATGCCGGAAGCTACTGCCATTCTAGGAGCACACATGGGACGGAGTCGCCGTGAAAGCGCCTTTTTTTCTGGATGATACAAATGAAGACGGTGTCCCTTGTGCTCCCTGACACTAAGGCCTGGGGAAGTTCACGGTGTGTCCCGCCAGGGCTGGGACCATTTCTGCCTCATTCACCATTGTGTCTCTTCTGTTGCAGTGCTTGGTACATAGTGGGAGTGAAAATATTCAGGGAGTGAACGATGAATGGAGACGAATAGAGTGAACCAAATGAAGGAGGAGATATGATTCTATCTCAGCAGGTTACAACAGCAAAATGCACAAAAAGTGTATATTTAAAATGCTGTTGGGGCACCTGGCTGGCTCAGTGCATACAGCATGTGATTCCTGATCTCAGGGTCTTGAGTTCAAGCCCCATGTTGGGTGTGGAGCCTCCTCAAAAAAAATTTTTTTTTGTTTTTAACTAAGCTGAGGTCTATGTAGGAAGAACATAGTTTTTACAGTCTGCTCTATATGATGAATATATGAATTGTCGGAGGAAGAGATTTTGCGAATGGCAATGAAATGAGAGAGTGAGTCTGCTTACTAAGTAGGGTTACAGACAGCCCCAAAGTGTCAAGGGAACACCTTTATGTGACTTTTAAGGTTTAGCTTTCCCTCTGCTTCTGACTTGGCTTAAGGACAGAGGATAGTTGCAGTTCACAAGTGTGGTCCAGGCACCCTGTCCTGACAACATCTATTCCTAGGACTTTTCATTTTTGTAACAAAGTGTTATTATTAACCACTGCTTTTAACTGATATTAGCTTGGGGACCTCTCTCGATCTTGTTCTTCCAGCTTTCGCCAGGGTCCTGCCTGATGTTGTGTGAGAGGCGCGCTCAGAAAAAGCAGTTCTCACTTTAACACGTGGTCAAAGAAGAAAGATCACTCAGTGACAACCTGGCACTTTCCAGATCCTTTTTTGAAGGGGGGCCAAGTCCCTTCAAGGACCACATGAAGCACTCTCTGATAAGGTGAAATGTGCTGAGACATGAGCAGTGAGGGATAGCTGACTGTTCATACGAGGTAGGAGACATACTTGAGGCTCCTGTCCCTTCCAGCCACACGTCCTCATACCAGCTCATTGTGCTTCATTTATTTGACTTAGAAGCTGCATGAAGTTGCCAGGCCTCCTCCCCTTGGGTCAGTGGGAAACATCAGAAATGACAGGTCCTGAGTAGATGCACTGCGTGCGGGGGTGGGGGCGGGGGCGGAGTTATCTTGCCACAGAGCAGAAAGAGTAGTTTCAAGCTCTTGCTACAATAGTTTCTTCTTTATTATATGATACAAGCCCTTATTGCTTGGTAACACCTTTAAAAACTTTTTTTTCTAATCGGCTCTTGGCTGCGATCTTCTAAAAGAGCGTAAGTATTTAAAAGTTAAGCTCCACAGGGCGCCTGGGTGGCTCAGTTGGTCAAGCATCCGATTTCGGCTCAGGTCATGATCTCCTGGTTACTGAGTCTGAGCCTCGTGTCAGGCTCTACGCTGACAGCGTGGAGCCTGCTTAGGATTCTCTCTCTCTCCCTCTCTCTCCTTCTCTCCCTCCCTCCCTCTTTCAAAATAAATAAACATTCAAAAAAATAATAACAGTTAAGCTCCATTTCTGTAGAAAGTCAGTGATGAATACGTCAGCCATTCA